CAAGATTTTACTAACATAATATATGGGTCGTTGGACCCGGTCTGCTTCCTTTACTAGTACCGAACTGACCACCTCGTCGCTAGCCGAGAGGTACAGTTCTAAGACTTCGCTTTTCTCGAGCCGAGCTAAGGTTGGTACACTAGCGAGGTAACCTTTTAGCTCGTCAAACGCGAGCTTGCAGTCTTAGGTCCACTCGAACCCTTTGCCTTTGATTGCTTTGAAGAAGGGTAGGCAGCGATCTGCCGACTTAGACATGAAGCGGCTTAGAGCAGCTATGTGGCCGTTTAGCCTTTGAACTTCTTTTACTTTCCGAGGCGGTCTCATATCTAGGATGGCTTTTATCTTGTCCGGGTTGGCCTCGATACCGCACCGATTGACAATGTAGCCTAGGAATTTGCCTGACGTGACGCGAAAGACACATTTGTTGGGGTTCAATTTCATGCTAAACTGACGCAGGATTTGGAAGACAGAATCCAAGTCTTTTATCAATTCTCGTGAAAACCGTGTCTTGACGACCATGTCATCTACATAACACTCTATCTTCGTGCCAATCAGGGGCCGAAACAGCCTTTTTACAAGTCTTTGGAAGGTCGCCCCGGACATGCATGATTCGCTGGCTCTGGGGAGGTGCATTTGGGACTGGAAAGCATCGACGTGGTCGTTGGGGTCGAAGGACCCGTCATACTTGTCTAGAGGTGGGAGCTTGAAATCTCTGGGCAAGGGGACTGCCAGGAGTTCTGACGCGAGGAGGGAAGGAACTGAGAGAATCGGGGCAACTCCTACCTCGTCCGAGCTCGTCTCGCCTTTGCCTCTAAGCTCTGACAGGACACAGGTGGCGGTTCGTCAACTTCGACGGTGCCTTCGCTGTTGAGTGGGCCTTGTACTGGCGCTGCTGGCCTCCGTGTTGCCGAGCTCGATGGGCCCGGAGTGCTGGTAGTCCGCTGCTGCCAGTGCGCCGAATCGGTTTTCCATGAGTGGGAACTCCGATTTGGAGCCCCGAGGTGCCGATCTCGCGGGCGAGGTTCCCGACCCGCCTGCGAGCTGCGAGGCGGGGATGACTTTTCTCTCTCTTCAGCATGGGGATGAGGCCTGGCTGTTTGGGGGGTTCTG